CATGTGGGTAAACACAAGAAGAGACTAAATAGAAAATGACAGACCTGTTAGGATAAATTGGTGGACAAATGGTAACCCTACATTTACCCTTTTTGTCGTTGTTGTTGTGAGGACGATTAGCCCTGAGCTAACATCCGATGCCAATCCTCATCTTTTTGCTGAGGAAGACTGGCCCTGGGCTAACATCCGTGCCCATCTTCCTCTACTTTGTATGGGACGCCGCCACAGCATGGCTTGACAAACCTTGTGTCCGTGCACGCCTGGGATCTGAACCTGCAAACCCTGGGGTGAAGCAGAGCACACACACTTAACCGCTATGCCACCAGGCTAGCCCCACATTTACTTTTTTTGAGGAACTGCCAGACTGCTTTCTAAAGTGGCTGCATCATTTTACATTCTCACCAGCATTGTATGAGGGTTCCAATTTCACTACATTCTTGGCAACATGTTATTAGGCGGCTTTTTGGTTATAGCCATTTTATTGTGTGTGAAGAGGTATCTCATTGCGGTTTGGTTTGCATTTCCGTGACGGCTGATGATGTTGAGCATCTTTTCATGTGCTTATTGGCCATTTGTGTATCTTCTTTGGAGAAATGTCTATTCATATTTACCATTTTAAAAACTGGGTTGTCTTTTTAATGTTGACTTCTGAGAGTTCTTTATATATTTTGGATATGTCTCTTATCAGACATGATTTGTCAACATTTTCTCCCATTCTGTAGGCTGTCTTTTCACTTTCTTGATTGTGTCTGTTGAAGCACAAACGATTTTAATTTAGGTTAAGTACAATTTATCTATTTTTTCTTTTGTTGCTTGTTGATTTCAGTGTCATATCTAAGTATCCATTGCCAAATCCAAAGTCATGAAGATTTACCCCTATGTTTTCTCTTAAGAGTTTTCTAGTTTCAGCTCTTACATTTAGGTCTCTGATTCACTTTGAGTGAATTTTTTTTGTACATGGTGTGTGGTAAGGGTCCAACTTCATTCTTTTGTATGAGGCTATCCAGTTGTCTCAGCAACATTTGTAGAGTATTCTTTCCCCATTGCATGGTCTTGGCACTATTGTTGAAACTCAGTTGGCCATGAGTATTTCTGTACTCTCAATTCTGTTCCATTGATCTATATGACTATTCTTATGCTAGTACTATACTGTCTTGATTACTGTAGCTTTGTAGTAAGATTTTAAATAGAAAGTGTGAATCCTCTAACTTTGTTCTTCAAAATTGTTTTGGCTGTTCTGGGTCCCTTGAGTTTGCATGTGAATTTTAGGATTAGCTTGTCAATTTCCACAAAGAAGCCAGCTGGGATTCTGATAGGAATTAAGGTGAATCTGTAGATCAAGTTGATGTGTATTACTATCTTAACAATATTAAATCTTCTGATCCATGAACATGGGATGTCTTTCCATTAATTTAGATCTTTAATTTCTTTCAATGATACTTGTAGTTTTCAGGGTAATGTTTTGCATTTCTTTTGTTAAACTTATCCTTATTTTACTATTTTTGATGCTATTGTAAAGGGAATTGTTTTCTTAATTTCATTTTCAGACTTTTCATTGATAGTATATAGAAATAAATTGATTTTTGTATATTGACCTTGTATCCTGAAATCTCGCTGAACTCAATTATATGTTCTAAGAGTTTTTTAGTGGATTTCTTAGGGTTTTCTTTATACAAAATCATGTCATCTGTGAATAGAGTTTTACTTCTTTTCCAATTTGGATGTGTTTTATTTCATTTTCTGGCATGGGAGACAAATTGCAAACCAAGAAATAAAAAAAGAAAAATATCAGAGTAATAGTGTCAAATATGTACAGAAATAAGTTATGATGATGTGATGAGAGCGACTTGGGTACCTACTTTAGATTGGGTAAACGAGAAATGCCTCCTGTGAGGAAATGACATCTAACCTAAAATCTGAATTATAACAGCCTTCTAGACAGTGGGAACAGTTAATGTGAAGGAACTGAAAGGTGGGAATGAGCTATTTATTGGAGGAACAGGTTGGCTGATTTGACTGGAATGTAGTAAGCAAGAGGGAAAAAGAGGTCTGAGAGGCAACCAGGGGCTAGGCCATGTAAGACTTTGTAAACCTGAGCAATGGAGGTTGGATATTATTCTAGGTTTGATGTGGTGCTACTGGAGTGTTAAGCAAGGGAGCGATGTGATCTGATTCACGTTTCAAAATCACTATAGTTCCTTTGTGGATAACAGAGGTTGGAATAGAAGCTGGGGAACCGCTCAGAAGGCTTTTGCAGCACTTCACTTAAAAGATGTCAGTGACTTGGAATGGTGATAACAGAGATGGAGAGAAGCAAACGGATGTAGGAAAGGTATGGGATTCGCTGATGAATTGGATGTGGGGAATGAAGGAAAGAGAGGAATAAGGAACAATTTCTAGATATTTGGCTTACGTACTTGGGTGGGCAGAAGTGCCAGTTACTGAACTGGAGAAGACTGTACTTGAATAAGCCGGAAGTTGGTGGAGGAGGTTGGGGAGATATATCACAAGTTCTGTTTTGATTATAAGTTGGAGACACCTACTGGTACTCCAAGTACAAATGTCAAGTAGGCAGTTGGATAAACAAGACTGGAACTACAGGAAGTGAGCTGGGGTCACTTGTTTTCAGCCTGAAGTTGCTGCTAGTGAGCCAGGAGGCACTCCAAGAGAGAATGTTTCAGGCAATCCAAGGTAAAATTGTTTCAAGAGGGTGTTGGAATGTGCTGATAGGCTCAGATTTCAATCCCAGTGTGTGGCTAACTTTACTGCTCTGAACTTTCCTCTCTACCTATAAAATGGGGATAATACCCAATTTGGGGGTTTATTGTGAGACTAAAGGAGATAAGGCATATAAGATAGCTAGCACCATCCTCAGCATGTACATTTAGCAACTATTCTTTTCCACCACCTCTAGTTTGATAAGAACTGGCCTTGTCACAGACAAGCAGTAAGAGCCAAACAGCTACATTTTCTCAAGCAAAGATACATCTTAGAAGGAGAGCTGCTATAAGACTATGCTGTAGCCTTCACTCTCTCCTCCAGTAAACCTCTTAGAAAACAGCATAGGTCTCCACCACATAAAAGGAAATAGTTTTCCTACCTAGATTTTCCTACAAATGCTGTTTACTGCCTAAATAAGGCAAGATGTTTAGTATAATAAAGTAACAAATGATGCCATTACAACCCACCAATGTATTAAGTGCCTCTTTTCTTTCTTGCACTAAACAAACACAAGCACACACCAGTCTTAGCAACACAAGTTATAGGAAGAGGGATATCAAACTCTTATCTTAAAGAATTTAAGGCTACTTTCCAAATATTAAAATAACAATGCAACAGTAATAATAGTTAACATTTATGGAGGGCTTACTATTAGCCAGAAAGTATTGTGCTAATTGTTTTAGATCTATAAATCATTTAATCCCCCAACAATCCTATAAAGGTGGGAATAATATTATACCCATTCATCTTTCCCAATAGATCAGCTTTAAATGAGAGTGGGAGAGTTAGCCTATTAGAATTGGACTGGCTAGGTGTGCCAGTGCTTTTTCACTGAGAGGTGTGAAAAGGTGAGATTCATAACAGTTGCTCAATGAATAGTTGAAAGCTGGCCGAACAATTAATTCCAAGTATTGGAGATGAAAGGTATTCTTTTGCTTTTATATTAAAATTTGCCTTTTGCAGATTAGCATGATAGGGCTTCAGCCTCAGCTTCCAAAGTAATTAGCACATCTCACAATACCTGGCTGAGTTTCTGAAGAAAGAAAATAACACACAAAATGATGCAACAGTGTGGACCTCAGCACTCTTACCACATAATCTTTTCTGCAGTATTTTATCCTTTAAATGTTTTACTGAATCTTTACCAGGATAATCTCATTTAAAACAATCTTAAAATTTACAAAGTTTACCTTTTCCATGAAAACCTGTGATCCACCTAGACCTTTCTGAGAAGATGGCAAGATTCACGTCAAGAGACTTTTCAAACAACTTTTGTCATTAACATTTATTTCAATTAAAGAAATGTGAATTCAGAATTAATGTAAGGTAAAACCTCAAAGTATCTGGCAAAAGAAATGCTCTTAAGAGTTTGATTAAAATGTTTGTGGTACCTGTGCTATGTATTACAGACAGACATTAAGAAAATAAAAAACACAGTCTGAAGAGAATCAAATTCTGATAAATTCTGGTTTGTAAAAATCAATTCAGTGGTACAGTCCCCCCAAGGAGAAGCAATTTGCCTTGTTACCATCAGTTAAAAACCAAGAGCATATTTTCCTCTTCTCTTCCCTCTTCTAGTTGTGACCATCATAGCACTATATACATGTACAAACTCAAATCCTTTTAATCAGAGAATTTAGTAAACTAACCATGACTCTGGTATTTAATAGGGCTTACAAATCATGTACTACAAAACATTTCCTTTTGAAAATGAAAATTTTATAATCTATTTCAAAAATGTCAAACAATTGAAAAATATATAAACTGGAACAAAATTTCCAAACCAAAGTTCAAAAACCTTGGCAAAGCTGTACATATAACATCAAATAACATCTAGCTTCATTTATCAACTAAAACACTCAGTAAAAATAATGATTTCTGTACGTGTAAACTGAGTGTAACACTTGAACATTTCAACAGAAACTGCTGTTCCACCACACATTATCAAAGTTTGTTCTCTAAATAATACGAAGAAATTTCAATTATAAGGCAAATGAAAACTAAAAATAGAAACAGTGCATCTTAAAGTTTTTTAGAGACCTACATATAAGTAATTTCCAAACACATAATTTTTTATATGCTTATCGTTTGGAATGAATTTTCCCTGAGCACTCTTTCTGCTTGGCTAGGAAAATTACAACATGATCTATAGAATTTTATTTTGATTTCTCTTGAATATCTGAAATTTTTCAGCCATCAAATGTATTTGGGAATCTTTCCTTCTAGATATCTCCAAGTAATAAGTAATCATAACTGTTCTAAGGGGCTATTTGAATGGCTATAGAAATATGGTTGGGTTTTAGAGCCCTGAGAACTGTACAGTGGTTGTCTCATACAACTGAAATGATTTACTATCCTAAAACTATCAATGGTTATTTTAAAAAATTCAGAATGGCACAAGCATCACGGAAGAAAGAGGTAATAATCAGTAATTCCCAACCAATAGATAAGCATTAAAAACTGAAAGAAAAAAAAAGTTGGCTTAACATTGTGCTTTCCATGGAATAATGCTAAAAAAAATTAAGCCTTCTGCCCAACACAGGAAATACCTCACCTTGAAACTTTATTTAATGCAGTCTTTAGATCTGTCACTCCTTAACATTCATGCAAACTTAAAATTAGTATCACTAGGAATTTCATCACGCAAATTGCAGTTCTCAATGCCATCCCAAGATTTACAGCCCAAAAGACATACTAAAATTAGTGCTCATGCGCAGCACCACTACCAGCTGTGTTCCCCTAATTTTTTAAGGTCCTAAAAAGTCTTAGCTACTTGAGAGTTGAGGCCTTTTCTCTTTCAAATAAATAAGGGATAACAAACACTAGGAGTTTTAACCATGCAAATTTGTAAATAGAAATTTTTTTTACATAGCCTAGCATCACAATAAAGGAAAATTAGATTTAAGAAGTTTCATATTTACAATTTAGATTTCATAACACCTAAGTATACATTTCCCTTAGCATTATGATTTATGTAGTTTGCAAGAATAATTAATAAATAACTTAAAACATTTAGAAGTCATCATTGTGAAGAACTTCAAGAAGTGAGCAATTTCAGATGTCCAGATGTGTGTCTTCTGTCTTTTTAGTTGTATGTTAAGAGGCTTTATGCAGGACGCCCTGGACCAAGACGGCTTTTAGACCTAGATTTTTTAAACAGAAAAGAAGGTCAGAGGTGTTTCTAAAACAGGAAGTTGTTGCTCCTTTAGGTTATGTTTGATTGACAGTATCAAAGTTTAATGAAACTTCACGTAGCTCCATAATCCATTTTTAGAAACCCTTGGGGGCCAGCTGGGTGGCACAGGCAGTTAAGTGCGCTCGCTCCACTTCAGCGGCCCAGGGTTCGCAGGTTCGGATCCCAGGTGCTCACCAACGCACCGCTTGTCAAGCCATGCTGTGGCAGCGTCCCATATAAAGTAGAGGAAGATGGGCATGGATGTTAGCTCAGAGCCAATCTTCCTCAGCAAAAAAAAATAAATAAATAAAAATAAAAACCCTTGGAGTGAGATGTATTTTGGAATACAGATTTTTTTTATTTTTGGGAGATAATATGGTACATATATTGTATATTATGGATCTGAAGCAGTGCAACATAATCAAACATATTAATGTTTCTTCAGTGAAACAAATGAACATTTACATTTAGTAGGATAAATAAAAACTATAAATAAGCATCATTGTAGCCCAGGTTAGGTTTGAGTTGCCTCAAATGTATAAAAAAATCTGGTTTTTTGAGCTTTCTGGATTTCAGAATTCCAGATAAGGCATTTGGATCTGTAGTATTAATGATCAAATCTCAGTTACTTAATCGTTTTTGTTTTTTTTTTTTTGTGAGGAAGATGAGCCCTGAGCTAACATCTGATGCCAATCCTCATCTTTTTGCTAAGGAAGATTGGCCCAGGGCTAACATCTGTGCCCATCTTCCTCTACTTTATATGGGACACCGCCACAGCATGGTGTGACAAGCAGTGCATCAGTGCGTGCCCAGGATCAGAACCTGCGAACCCCAGGCTGCCGAAGCGGAGCACGCGCACTTAACCACTATGCCACTGGGCCAGCCCCTCAGTTACGTAATCTTTAAAAGAAAATTTGTGATGTAAAATGACACAGGACCCACAAGTTAGATTTTATTAAGAAAAATAAAATAAAACAAGGAATAAGAAAGACGTGAATGATTTATATAAAATCATAATATATAACCTATAAACAGTATAAAAATTCTGCTAATTCACAGTAGCACTATAGCTTATATCTTATTAGTAGCTGGCTCAGAACAGAGCTGATTCAATAAATAGAAAACTTATAAAAACCTATACTTGCATTTAATTCTGTGCTTATAACCTTTTAAGTCTTAACTTTTAAGTTAAAATCTGGTTCTGATTAATGTCTTGATGATCTAATGCCAGAAACAAAACGACCCCAAACTCAAATTACTTGCTTCTAGTGTCCATGTGATTTTCCCTAAAAAAATCACTTCAAAGCCAATGGCATTCTGAATTCATGTATGCTGATGTACCTTGTGTTCTTCTCTGAGCTGCTCTGCCGTGCGCTGACTGGCACTGAGGACTTGATTTGCGCTTCGAGTCTGGAATAAATACCTCCTGCAAACTGCAGAGTAAAATTAAGTTGTTATCTTTACGGAATCAATAGAAGCTCTGCTTTATTAAAATGGCATTACTTTTTAACTTAGAAGTAATTTTATTTTGATTTTTAAAATTCAGTTTACTTGAGTTATAATCTACACTTATAATTTTACGTACAGGAAAATTCAATCTTTTTAGTGTACAGTACCGAGTTTTGACAAATGCATACAGTTGTGTAACCACTGTTAGAATGAAGATATAGAACAGTCCCATCACCCCAAGAAAATCCCCTTGTGCCTCTTTTAAGTCAATGGACTTGACACTACCAATTCCCGACAACCACTGATCTGTTTTATGTCTCTATAGTTTTGCGTTCCAGAACGTTATATAAATAGAATCACACAGTCTGCAGTCTTTTGAATTTGGCTTCTTTCACTTAGCATAAAGTATAGGAGATTCATCTATGTTGTTGCATGTATCAGTAGTTCATTCTTTTTTATATGTACTACAGTTTTAATTATTTTCCAGGTAAAGGACATTTAGGTTATTTCTAGTTTTTGGTGATTCTGAATAAAGCCACTATAAATATGTGTGAATTGATCTGTATGGTGAGTAAATGTCTAACGCCATAAGAAACTGTCAAACTGTTTTCCAAAGTGGCCATTCCTTTTCGCATCCCTACTAGCTATATATGAGAGTTCCAGTTGCTCCACATCCTTGCCAGCAGGTTTTAAAAAAAATTTTAGACATTCTAGTTGGTGTATAGTGGTTTCTCATTGAGGTTTTAAGTTACATTTTCCTAATGACTAGTGATGTTGCATCTTTTCATGTGCTTATTTGCCACCTGTATCCCTTCTTTCATGAAGTGTATGGTTAATCTTTTGCCTATTTACTTTTATTGGATTGTTTATTATTGAGTTTTGAGAGTTCTTTATATATTATGAATACAAATCCTTTACCAGATAAGTGTTTTACACATATTTTCTCATAGTTTATGGCTTTTCTTTTCATCCTCTTAATAGTATCTTTCAAAAAGAAGAACTTTTAAATTTTGATGAAGTCCTATTTGTCAATTTTTCTTTTATAGATCATGCTTTTGGTGTTGTAGCTAAGAAATATTTGCCTCACCCAAGGTCACAAAGATTTTCTCCTACGTTTTCTTTTGTAAGTTTTACAGGGAAGTAAATTTTTAAATAAATTAGGGGCAAGAGTATTGTGAATATAGAATACCAATACTAATGATAACACATAATGTTATGACTAATATATAATTCTAATAATAATGTCTAGTCACCATTTTCAACAAGATAACTTATTTTAGAGACAACATCTAAGAAGCTGCAGAGTTGATCAAAATCAGCAACTTCCAGAAAGTCATCCTCTGGATAGTCAGCATTTGGTCAGCACACACAGTTAATCTACTCTGGGTGTGACATTGCACCTGCAGTGACAATGTACTTTATTATGTGTGTTACAGAGGACCTATGGACCATGGATAACAAGAAGTAGGAGAAAACTTTTATGTGAATGAATTGGCTAAATGGTACAGAATATAAAAATATTTAAATTACTCTTTTAAAATTCTGCCTAAAACATCTTTATACTCCTCATGATGAAAATAAGGGAGGAAGGCATATCCAAGCAAGTACAGTACATTAGTACACAATCCTTACTTCTTTTGCTTCCTTTGACTTGACTCGGTCCAGATCACCCAATCTCATCTTTATTAGGTGCCCTGTAATTTCAGACATCCGCCGCTGATCTGAAGGTAAAAAATAATAAACCTTACTTTTTATAAGGATGATTTATAACTTTTATTTCTTTTTTTTTTTGTGTGAGAAAGATTGGCCCTGAGCTAACATTTGCCAATCCTCCTCTTTTTTTTTGCTGAGGAAGACTGGCCCTAGGCTAATATCCATGCCCATCTTCCTCCAGTTTTTTTATATGGGACGCCGCCACAGCATGGCTTGACAAGCAGTGAGTCAGTGCATGCCCAGGATCCGAACTGGCAAACCTGGGGCTGCCACAGCGGAGCGCACGTGCTTAACCGCTTGTGCCACCGGACCGGCCCCTATAACTTTTATTTCTTAAAGATGGTTGCAATCATCAAGAGTTTATGAAAATATCATTGAATATTATTTTATAAACACATACACCTATTTATCTTTGAAGAATTTTAGGCTACAAGTGGCAAAATGGGTCATACACGGATAATCGCGCTGCTTTTAAGACTACTGCACATCAGCCTAAAACATATTCAGTCATCTTTAGAGTGAAAGTCGTGGACAAAAGTCAATCTGAGAGACCTCAGAACTACAGGTACATAAAACAACATATTATCTACTGGGATTGTAGAGTAATGAAACTCTGGTTGATACCTAAGGGAATGTGCTAATTCTGGGCCTTATTCCATTTGGAACCTTTTAAAGCTATTTAGCATACTTCATAAGATGAAAGATTCCTATCATTGTTATTTATACCTAATTTGTATATTACCCAGATTATAAAACTTACCATCTTCTCTTTGTGCATCCTGGTTGAATCTCAAAGATCTTGTGGTATCCCACTTATTCTTCTGCATACTTACGCTATTGAAAAAATTAAACAAAAATGAGCACTGATGCTTTAAGGGTGGGCATCTGATTGGATTAAGGAACAATACTCACATGAAAGGAGACACATCTCTAGAAGTTGACTAAAAAAAAGTAGACAACATTAAGGCCCAATTAGAACATATTTACTGATTGGTGTTATAGTTAATAAAAAGAGTTTACGTTTATTGAGTGCAAGATACTGTACCAAGAGCATTACAAGTATTATTTCATTTAAGCTTTGCAACAACCATGGGAGACAGGTGCTATTATTATCTCTATAATAAAACAGGTTCAGAGAAGTTAAGAAACTTGTCCAAAGAGAAACACATGTAGAATTTAACCCAGCTTTATTTGTCTGATCTGGAAGCTCCAGCTTATGCAATCTTTTAGAATTCACCCATTCATGTGCCTATGGTACTTAACACAAAGATGAATGTACAACCTGTCCAACATAATTGTGTGGAACTTGTCTCAACCCCAGCCTTTCACACATTTTTGGAATCCATGGTTTCTCTTTTAGCCACTTGTGGTTATTACTGTCCTCTGATTCCTACCTGGCTTTTTATTCCTTCCTTCGAAGGCATGGGGAAATAAGAATTATTTTAAAAGGTCACAAAATATAATTTATTTAAAAATTTTAAAGTCTATTTATTTATCTTATTTTTTGAATAAGTGGTATTGGTTCACAATTCAAAAGACAAACAGCACATATTGTAAAAAGCCTCTATCCCCCAGACATTCAGTTCCTTTCCTTAGAGGCAATCAATCTTATCAATCTCTTGTGTAGTTTTCCAGAGATATTTTATGCATATAGAAGGAAATTCATATATATTCCTTTATTTATTCTACACATATGGTAGCGTAATATGCCACTATATTCATTCTGTTCTGCACTTTCCTTTTTTCCCCTGTCAATATATCTCAAGGATCTTTAATTAGTCTTTATAGAACTTATTCATTCATTTTCACACTGCTAGCATTCCAATGTGGTATTCATTACTCTTCTTTTTCAGATTTTTCCTGGCTATACTTGCTTATTTCGCAATACAAACTTCATAATAATAATAGGTAATTTAGAGTTACCTTCTCCAGTCCTTTTTCTTTCTTTTGACCACAGGGTGAAGACATCTGCTTTTTTGGTTGTTTAGTGAGCTTCTTTGGCTTCTCCTTCTTTCCTGATAGTGGAAGGTCAAAGTTATGAGCATAAGTCCCGTATACCTGTCAATGCACTTGTTACTTCCAAACAATAAAATCATTTTTTAAAAAAACCATTGTTTTTTAAAACCCACAAATTACCTCCTGATAAAAAGTAAATATATGGAGAAGTCAAACTGAAAGTGCTTTACAGGGGTGCATTTTAATTACTTTTCTTCTTTCTACTTGGTGAAAACCTTTGGGGAAAAATTGAGGGCAATGAATTCAAAGTCCCAATAAAATTAAATATAGAAAAATGTTGGGGAAAACTATACATATTTATTTATCTGAATCTAATTTGACAGCAGAAGTCACCTCCTAATTCCAAATTTTTTATGTAAAAAATAACTACAACCCAAAAAAATACAATTTGAGAAGGGGAGGAGAAAAGAACTCACAAAAAATCTTTAAAATGTCTTTTGCTCAGGCAGGAGGTGGCGTTATGAAGGTTAAAATAGAGGTGGAACAGAAATGATCTTGGGAAGAAGCAGATTTGGGACAAACTGTATTCTGGACTAGGGCATTCCTGCAGTCAATATTCTGAATTTATTCTGGCTGACAATTTAGTAGAGAAAGAAGAGGGGCAGAAAAGAAGGAGGAGATAGAAACATTTCTCTAAAGACAATGTTTGAAGCTAAGGATAATACATTGGATCACTGTTTCCTAAACATTAATTATTTGTATACCACTTTCAAAATATTTGCTATATCATTTAAAAGGGAAACATGCCACCACCATAAATGGAAAATCTGTAAAACATGCTACATAGAAAACTTTGAAGATACTAGAATAAAAACAAAATAATATTAATAATCCACATAGATTTATTTGCCTGCTGGCAAGCCCTGAGCCCCTGATATGTGACTCTTTCTTAAACTGAGAGATTACCAAGTGCTATAAAATCGCTAAAAGACATGATAGCATGGGACATCTGATAATAGCAGTGTGAAGAGTTGAACAATTCCTTCCAAAGAAAACAATGATAAAAACAGAACAAAAATATTATAAACCACCATCTGCAGGTACTGGCAAATAATCAAAGGTAGGTAGAAAGTTGAACTTTACATTTGAAAGATTCAAGACATAAGAAGTGTGAGTTTGTGGCTTTCTTGCCTAAGGGGACTTCCCAACCTCCCCAGCCTTATGAACCCCAGGAAAAGATGACAGAGTTCAAAGCAACAGAAAAGCTGGAAATCTAAAGGGGAAATTTTGGAAGCAGGAAAGTCAAAGAAGACCTGAGATCTAAAACGTAAGTATAAACTCCGCCCAAATTCCTAGCTGAGTGCTAAACTATGCAAGTGTACAGGAGATCCTAGGAAGCTCAGCTAAAAAGGCAAGCAGAAACTAGGGTGGGGTGTCAACCCTTGCAAGACAAAACTGCTCTTGGTGAGATGTGGGAGTTTCTTGTGCTTTTGACTAAATGATTTCCCCAAACTGCATATGGCTAAAGCTTCTGACAGCAGAAGCCTTATTGGCTTGAGGTGTCAGAGGTTAGATCTGGGATAGGAAAAAACAACTAGAAATCTAGAGGGAACCCATAAAGCAAGGGAACCACTAAACAGGTAAGCCCCAAAACCTGAATATAAATTTTGTCCAAATTCTTGGCTGACCAAGAAACACAGGCTGGTGTGACCCCGTGGCGGTAGGCTAAAGAAGTTAGCAGCCAAAAAAATATGTGCAGGGACACCATCCACCACATACCATGGGGGAGACAGATTTTGCAGTTTGGGTCAGGCAAGTTAACTGCCTACTAGAACAAAAAACTCAAGAATTCTCAGAACAAAACAGATTTCAGAGTTGCACAAAGATAATCTACAATGTCCAGTTTTCAACCAAAACCTAGGAGATAAAGAAATTGAAAAGTAAGACCCACTCAGAAAAGAAACAGCCAATAGAAACTGTTTCTGAGGCGGCCAGCATGTTGGACTTCGCAGACAATGACTTCAAAGTAACTATAATAAATACGTTCAAAGGAAAAATGGTATTATTGAGTAAACACATATGGAATCTCAACAGAGACATGGAAACTATAAAAGAAGAACCAAGCGGAAATTTTAGAGCTGAAAAGCACAATAACTGAAATGAAAAAGTTTACTAGATGGGCTCAAGAGAAAATCAGAAATGGCAGAAGAATGAATCAGTGAATGTGAAGCTAGAGCATTAGAAATTATCCAATCCAAAAAACAAAGAGAAGATTGAGGAAAAAGAAACAAAACCTCAGAGATCTGTGGGACAATATCAAAAAGTCTAACATACTTGTAATTTGAGTTCCAGAAGACAAATGAGAGAAAGGAGGAGAAAAAATACTTAAAGAAATAATGATTGTAAGCTCCCCAAATTTTTTGAAAAACATCAATTTACAGATCCAAAAGGCTCAACAAATCTCAAGTAGGATAAACACAAAGAAAACCACTCCTAGGCATAACATAGTCAAGCTTCTGAAAGTCAATGATAAAAAGAAAATCTTGAAAGCAGCAAGATAAAAAGTACACATTAAACGCAGGGGAACGATTATATGATAAATGGCTGACTTCTAATCAGAAACAATGGAGGCCAGAAGACATTGAATGATATAGTCAAAGTGCTAAAAGAAAAAATAATTGGTAACCAAGAATTCTATATTGAGGAAAACTGTACTTCAAACCAAAAGTGAAATAAAGATAGTTTCAGATAATTCACTGCTGCTATAGCTGCACTACGGAAAATAATGAAAGAAGTCCTTCAGAATGAAAGAAAATGACATAAGATGGTAACTCAGATATAAGAAAAAATGGTAAATATGTGGGTAAATGTAAAAGACTAAATGTGTATTTTTTCTTCTGTTCCCTAACATTCTTTAAATTACATACAACTGTTTAAAGCAAAATTCATAACATCACTGGGTTTATAATGTATATCGATATAATATATAGTTCTCCCTTTGTATCCATGGGGAATTGGTTCCAGGACCTCCCGCAGACATCAAACTCTGCAGATGCTCATGTCTCTTATATAAAATGGCATAGTATTTGCATATAACCTACACACATCCTCCCATATACTTTACATCATCTCTAGATTACTTATAATACCTAATACAATGTAAATGCTATATAAATAGTTGTTATACTGTATTGTTTAGGGAATAATGACAAGAAAAGAAGTCTGTACATGTTCCGTACAGACAGGACCCTTGTAGGCCTTTCCATCCACAGTTGGCTGAATCCTGGATGTGGAACCTGTAAACAGGGAGGGCTGACTGTGCATGACAACAGTTGCACAAGAAAGGAGAGGCAAATGGAACTATCTTAAAGTTCTTATATTTTACTTGAAGTAAAATACTATCTTTAAGTAGATTGTGATAAGGTTAAAGATGCATACTGTAATCTTTAGAACAACCAAATGCAAAGAAATATAACTAAAAAGCCCATAAAATAAAGAAAAAGCAAGAAAGGAGAAACAGAGAAACAGAAACATTTGAGACAATTAGAAAATGAAGAGCAAAATGGCAGAACAAATACAACCATATCAATAAATATATTGCATATAAATAGAATAAATGCTCCAATCAAAAGGCAGAGATTGTCAAACTGGATTAAAAAAGTAATTTCCAACAATATGCTATTTACAAGATACGCACTTCAAGTTAAAAAACACAGAGGTTGAAAATAAATGACAGAAAAAAGATATGCCATCCAAACAGTAAACAAAAGAAATCTAGAGTGATTATATTAATATTAAACAAAACAGACTTCAAGACAAGCAGTTTTACTACAGACAAAGAGGAATACATCATAATGATAAAAGAGTCAATATACTATAAATATATATGTGCCTAATCACAAAGCTCTAACATACACCAAGCAAAAACTGATAGATCTGAAAGGAAAAATACATAAATTAACAATTACAGCTGGAGATTTCACTATCCCTCTCTTCCTAATTGATAGAACAAGTAGTCAGAAAATGAGCACGATTACAGAAGACTTATACCAGACAATCAAACCAACTTGACCTGACATTTATAGACTATTCCACCAATAACAGCAGAATTCACATTCTTTTCATGTGCATCTGGAACATGTCTCAATAAAATTTACAAGATGAAACCACATAGAACACGTTCTCTGACCATGATGGAATTAAATTAGAAATGTGTAACTGAAAAGTATCTGGAAAATCTGAAAATATTTGGAAATTAAACAACACACTACTAAACAACACATAGGTCAAAGAAAAAATCATAAGAGAAGTTAGAAAGTATTTTGTATTAAATATAAATGAAAACAAGACATATCAAAATCTGTGGGAAATAATGAAAGCAGTGTTTAGAGAGAATCTTATAGCTTTAAATGCTTATATTAGAAAAGAAGAAAAGTCAAAAACCAATGATTTAAGCTCTACTTTAAGAAGCAAAAAAGAAGAGGAAATTACATCTAAGGTAATTATAAGGAAGAAAATACTAAATATAAGAATAAAAATCAGAGCCAGCCCTGATAGCCTAGTAGTTAAAGTTCGGTGCTCTCACTGGTGGCCCAGGTTTGGTTCCTGGTCACAGAACCACACCACTTGTCTGTCAGTAGCCATGCTGTGGTGGCAGCTTTCATAAAAGAACTAGAAGTACTTATAACTAAAATATACAACTATGTACTGTGGCTTTGGGGAGGAAAAAAAAAGAAGGAAAACCAATGAAATATAAAATAGACAAACTATAGAGAAAATCAATGAAATCAAAACCTGGTTCCTTGAAAAGATCAATAAAACTAATAAACCTCTAGCTAAATTGATCAAGAAAAAAAGAGTTAAGACACAAATTACCAATACCAGGAATGAGGGAGGGACATCATTACAGATCCTTCAGACAGAGGATAATAAAAAAATATTATGAGCAATTTTATGCCAACAAATTTGACAATGTGGATAAAATGGACAAATTCCTTGAAAGACACAAATTATCAAAATAGATTCAAGAAGAAATATAAAACTTGAATAGCACTTGAATATTAATTGAAGAAAATGAATTCATAATCAAAAACCTTTCCATAAAGAAAACTCCAGGACCAGATGGCTTCACTGCTGAATTTTATCATATATTTAGGAGAGAAATAATGCAAATATTACACAAATTCTTTCAGAAAAGAGAAGTTAAGGGAACACTTTCCAACTTGTTTTATGAGGTCAGTATTACCCTGATATCAAAACTTGAAAAAGACATAAAAAAAATACAGACAAATATCCCTCATGTACACAAACAAAAAATATTTGACAAAATATTAGCAAGTCAAATACAGTAACATATAAAAGAATAATATCTCATGACCAAATGGAGTTCACTCTAGAAGACTGCTGTAACACTTGAAAAAAATCAATGTAATTAATCATATTGATATAATAAAAAAAAAACCCTGTATTTTCATCTCAGTAGATGGAGAAAAGCATTTGAAAAAATTCAACACCCATTCACTAACTCAGCAAACTAGAAATAGAAAGGAAGTTCCTCAACCTGAGAAAGGGCATTTATGAGAAACCAACAACTAACATTACATACTTAATGGTTAAAGATTGAATGCTGTCCCCCTAAGATAGGGAATAAGGCAAGGATGTCTGTTCTCACCACTTCTATTGAACACCAGGTCCTAACCAGTGCAAAAAGGCAAAACAAACAAATAAAGGGTATACATATTGGAAAGGAATCTAACTAGCAAAGGAAGAACAATTAAGTGAATTTACCATGATCATAAGATACAAGGTCAATATAAAAAGATCAGTTATATTTCAATATTACCATCAATGAACAATTGAAAAGTAAAAAACCTACTTACATGTATAACAGCAAAAAAAATACTTAAGAATAAATTTAACAAAAGATGTTCAACACCTGCATACTGAAACTACAAAACATTGTTGGGAGACATTAAAGAACACTTAAACAAGTGGAGAGATATTCATGCATTGGAAGGCTTGCCACTGTGAAAACAAGAGCAATTCTCCCCAAATTGATATATGAGTTCAACACAATCCCAATAGAAATCCCAGTAGGATTTTTGTAGAAATATCCACACTGATTCTAAAATGTATAGGAAATGCAAAGCACCTAGAAATACCAAAATAATCTAAAACAAAAGAACAATTTTGAAGAACTCACATCACCAGATTTCAAGACTCACCAAAAATTAAGACAGAGTGGCATTGACATGCTGATGTAAAGACAGACATAAGAATCAATGGGGTGGGGGGCCGGCCCTGTGGCCTAGCGGTTAAGTGCGCACGCTCTGCTACTGGCGGCCGGGGTTCGGATCCCAGGCGCGCACCGACGCACAGCTTCTCCGGCCATGCTGAGGCCGCGTCCCACATACAGCAACTAG